TGTGTGTATATATATATACACACACACATATACACTATTGGAAACTATTATCAAATGAAGAGGAAAAGGGTATGAACTACAAACACTTACACTTTAATTGTTGGCTATTCAACCAATCAGAAGTGTTAAACAAGTATAAAACAAAAGCATAGGCAGACATACTGTACCAAGTAATAACAGTGTGGATCTGGCCAGTCATGGATCCCAAATCTGAAATACCGCATGACAAGTGTGTAGAAATCAAAGATTTGGCTGATCAAAAAATATCCATGTAAAAGGTTTGATCAAGATTCCACGTTTCAGTAGTAGTTGTATGCAAGACACTAAATAGGGTATGTGGAACTAGCATTGTTAACAATATATGTGGTTGAGATGGAAAACAGAAACTCTTCAGAAATGGTGTTTAGCATCTTAGGATGTTCATGGTGTGTTCTTTCTGAGATCAACGACGATCGGATAGGGATCTTGAGAATGGTTTTGTTGTAAATACAAGTGTTTATCTTACCTAGAGGACAGTGATGCACGTTAGCACCAAGTGGTCTCATTGAATGTGTAGCTGCTAGAAACTACTGCTACGAAGAAGTAATCTACCAAAAAGTTGAAATTGGTATCGAATCAATGGAATGACCAAACCTGGGTACGTGTGCTCTTTACAAATAAATACAAGATCGAATTGTTCAACAACATTTAACCAAGGTTTTGTGATAGCTAAGAGAAGAACGATATCATGGTTTTAATGTATAACATCTACATCGAAGCCCAGTGGAGGTCAGTAGTGTCGATGATCTACATAAGATTTATGTCACCCTAATTAATGACAATTACAGGCTAATTTGTATCCAACATGTCATTTCGTCACTAACATCATTCTCCATGTATCTTCCAGCAATACAATGATTCTGTGTATACAAGTAAAACGATATCTTGACAGCAAAGAAGCCGATGGAACACTTACAATCATGGCTTTACCAGCACATATAATCCTATAATCTTGAGGTTCATATAAAAACTGAGAAGGTCATAAAAGTGATTAAGTCTCTTGGCTGAATCGTGGTTAGTAATGCAGGACAATTGGAGCAATATTCCACTACTATACGCTGATAAAGTGTATAGCAGCATTTAAACAAAGTTTAATGTTCTGAGTAAAACAAAGAGCTTAATACAAAATATTAATACTTTGTACGTCTTGTTCGCTAGTTGCAGTTTCTCGTTATTTGTGAAGCCTGTATGCGTGTCTGTTGTGTATTTACATATTTTTCCACTGCTGTGTAGCCACGAGAGAAATGGAGAGGGAAAGTAGCTGGATTCCAAAGAAAAAGTTTTGTAAACCTTCATCGGCAGCTTAATATCGTATTCTTAATAAACTGCACAATTCATATAAAATTGTTTCAGATTATTTCTTTTATTTAGACTCACTTTTATTTAATATTAATTTGTGTTAGTGTAAAACAAATATTAATTCTGTGGAATTCTCTTTAGAAAAGTTGAAGTTAAGTCACTTTACGATGAGCCTTATCTAGTTTTCCTCCGATTAAAAAAAATCCAACAGTGACCTTTGTATGTGATTTTGATTAAGTAAGGCATTGCAACAGTTATTTATAATAAATTAATAAGCCAACATTGAGCTTTAAAAAATTCGAGGTATAGATTTTGGATAGTCAGTATAATTTATATTTTGTAAATTATTAGTGACGATGTAAAACTGGAAGTTTAGATAAATCATAATGTTACTGACTATAATTAATTGTTTGGGTGCAACCGCACTTAACGGTGTTCTTAACTAGAAATACAAGTTTTACGTCACATTTAAAAGTATAAAAGGTTCGTTACAAATCAAAGACCATTTCACTAAGTATCTTTTACTTTATTTTTTACAAATAACTCCAATTGTACATTAATGTTAATCATTAATCTTATTTCCTTCAAAATTGTCTCATCTATAGCTTTTCAGTTTAAAGATATTGTACAGATATTCCCAGGGTAGTAAATTCATATGTTAAGTTGATTATTTATTGTTGTTTTTCACAGACCAGCAATCCCTTATATCTTACTGTTTGTAGCTAGAGGGTCGATTTCGGGATGTTTAGGTATTTGCATGCTCTACACAAATGAGGTATGTATTGTAAAATGCTTAATAGAATAGTGAGGATATTGTAATAGTGCCTAAATGTTTCCTATTAATTACAAATGAATTCATAATTATGTATGTGCATGAGATACGTTGACTTTGATAGATGGCATCATTGAGCATAAAATAAAATAATCA